TTCTTTTTGGCATGGTTTTTCAAGTGGATCTCATAAGACATCATCCTTTTAGCTTTATTGATGTTTGAAGTTTTACTTATGTTGTTCCAAAACATAGGAAAGAAATTCTTATCTTTTCCTTTTATGAAAAGCGTAAATCAATAACAAACTCGGCTTCTTCTCTTATGAAATACTTTACTTCAAACATCAATAAAGATAAAAGGATGATGTCTTATGAGATCCACTTGAAAAACCATGCCAAAAAGAAAGAAGAACTGGTAATACCGGTAAATATTTATTATGTACTGGTATAACGATGATAATGAAAAGTCCAGAACAAAATTAACGTATAAATATCCACAGTTCACCATTCATTAAATTGTTGAAATTAAAGTTTTGTATCAAATCTAAATTCGTAAGTGGAGAAACATAGTTAAAATTGAATCTGAAGTAGCAGCTACCATTTCTTCAGATTGATCATTATGCTTTCATACATTGTTTTGGTTTTGACACTGCTTTACTGCAGTTGTTCGCCATTCGTTAGCAGTGGGGGTGATAATAGTCGTAGTTTACCATCTAATCAAGGTTTATTGAAATTATTCGATAAAACATGTCAGAATTTGTATGGTCTTCTGACGTATCCACGTCAATACAAATGTTATTAGTTTATCTCCATTGAGAGTACGAGTTGAAGTTGAAATTACCTCACCTGCAAGAGGAACGGAAGAAACATTTACAGCTGAGGGTAGGTAGGACTATTCAATCCGTTTAGCAAGCGAAAGATAGGATTCTTCTTTTATCTTTTGTCTTTAAAGGTATGGTTTGTCAAAATGGTTATACAAAAGCTGTTGGTCAAGCTGTTTGTCGTGCAGATGGTGGTAAAACGTATATTGGTGCCTTTACCGGTGCTGCATGGTCACCACGGCCACCGAGTGATCCGAATCATAAAGAAGATCTTTGCTATTTTTATTACAGTGGTGAATCATTGTTAGTTCCATGTACATTTATTCTGGATAAATTAGATTGTGCAGATGGTGAAAGTAATTTAGTTAACTGCCTTAAAACGTCACCACCACTTTTTACACATTCATGTGCCAATGACATGCACGTCCATGTTGTGTGTGGAACCAGCGGTTAGTAGTGTTATCTAATAGACGTAGAAGCAGAAGACACACTTACTTTTTATTTATGCTGTATAATACCCCGATTAGTTTCTAAATAAACATATCTTAAATCAAAAGATAAAGACTCATCGATTACTCGTAAGTTATTGTCTTAAGACATTTATAAGAAGCGCAACTGCGTTTAGAATTAACTCTGTCTGTCTGCCAAACTAATCGTGTTAGACTGAAGCTGTAATGTTACAAAAAATTCATGACACTGTGTGAGATCGGACTTCGTTAGAGTAGACCAAAATGCACACCACACCGATAGCTTGCAAAATCGGAAGTGTTATTTGAGAGCTTTTCTCGTCAATTATGAAATATAGTTGCTTTTTTCTTGTTTTAACACAGCTCCGATAGAAACAGCTTCTTGTGAAGCTTTTACAAAACCTGCAGGTATATAGCTATATAGATTTAGAGACATTTACATATTAAGACATATAGATATACAGATGTATGGATGTATAGATGTTTAGATATAAAGATGTATAGATGTGTGGATGTATTCGGATAATTAGATATTTAGATATATAGGTGCATCAGATATAAAGACGTATGAGCAAAGCTTTATAAAACATCGTTAGACGCAGTTTTTCACGGTGATTACAGATCTGGAGTCAGAAGGCCTCATTTGTTTTGAGGTTTAGATGCCAAAGTTGTTTTTATTTTCTAAAAGATGTTTTGGCGCTTATTTTGTGAGCAATTTTATGCCCATTTAATCTAACTCCGAAAATTTATTTTTAGCTGCATGGGAGGAAACGCACCTCAAACTATCTGCCTATGTGCAAATCAGAGCTTGCTAAGTAGTTCTGTGACAGAAGAAATATATACCAAACCATCTGCAAAGAAGAGCAAAAAACGGTGAAATACCGTAACGGTCACTTTTATTCGATTTCTTCTGCCAGAGAACTAGTTCAAGAAAAACTCAGTAGTGATTCTGATAGGCCAATCGGTGAGCTTTAATTTGGTAATTAAGCGATCATTCTAAAATTAATTTAAGGCTGAATAATTTACATTTTACCGGAATGCCCCGAAAAAAACTTCCATTTTTTGAAATTCCGTAACGGTCTCTATTTTGACCGATTCTCATCTCACCGCCTAATATATTGATAATACATTTTTTATATTATCAGAATAAATTGAGTGCAAAAGACATTCACTAAAATTAGCACAAAAAGTTATCTAGACAAAACTGATATACAAGCCCAATTTCTAAAGATGTGAATATCAAATATCTGAAGATCAAACGCACTGAAGTTCTAAAGATCTGATAATCCTT